TACGTTCAGACACGGTCGAAAAACTGCATTTTGAAACTCCTTAGGCCATACTGAATTGACTGAGTTGATTGATAGGTATTATACATGATCAAAAATAGAAAACTTGAATTTGGTCGATTCCAATTCCGATTCCATTCGGAAGCCAAAAAATATTCGGATGAACAAAAAGAACGTAAGCGATCTATATAATGAAGATAGTGTCACTTTTTACGTATCAAGTGGCATTTTCATTTTAATCCAAGATTGTCATCAGGGAATAGTGGTAAGAATAGTTGCTCTGTGTGTAGATACGTGAGAGGTCTAAGTCTGGCGAGTGAGAGAATGAGACATAAGTTGGCCAATACGCTCCGGCGTATGTCTTTCCATAAGTATGCAAATCAGCCTGTTCTATGGTGATGAATGTTTTCCAAGGTTTGCAAAATTGACAACTCACAACTTACCAGTTATGCTATATTATGTATGAAAATGTTTACTTTTCGGATGTTATTTTTCTGTTAAGCTGTGCTCAACTAGCATCAATACCGCGAGTTCAAAAATTGTACAAGCGAATTTTTTTTCAAACAAAGCGAAAAAACTGATTATGTATTAGTTATAAATTACTTCGTTTCATATGCGACGTTAAATTATAATTTATGGCTAATACGTGACAATCAAGTACGGAACTATTGGTTTTTAAGGCTATTTACTAGATATAGAATAACGAAACAAAATCTTTAACAATAATGATTTAAGAAATTAATTTTTAATTTCGGCCGGTTTTCCGTTGAATACACTAAGAAACAAGAAGTTTTTTCAGAAGTCCTTATTTGTATTAAGAAGCACATATTCAAAAATTCCAACAAAACGATTACTTTAACTGAGAGAAATTGTCGTCAGCAGCCCCCTAATACTCACTTCATTCGCCTATAGACATCGAGAGAAAAAGCACTATTAGGACCTGATGGAACTGTCCTTGGAGTGGTAAGTTTAAGACTCAGTAAACGGATTGAATTAATCGATAAACTGATAGAAATTAAACCGATAATTACAATTGGATTTGAATTTCTGATTCTTTCACAACATTCTGATATTCCCATATTTTGCTCTGTTCATGCATTTTTTCTCAGTCGAAGTGCAAAATTGCACGACTACGTCATGGAGCAGTACCATGTATCTTCCCTTAGACTGAAAAAAACAGGAATTTCAAATTCAGAGCATTCTCCATCAATGCAAGACTCTGAAACATCGAATGTGTATATAGTGCAAGAGCCTGAATCTTCCGGAAAGTAACGAACAGGAGAAACAACCGAGCCTAATAAACAACCAGTTGCTAGGAATTCACAGGAAAAAAAACCTGATGCTCCAGAACAAATTCCTGACACTCCGACGAATTTGAATTCAGACATCATAGATAAGAATATCACTCGGCTACCCTCTGAATGGACCAGAAGTCTCTTGACATTAAACAATAAGAAAGTGATTGATTTTTCAATTAAAACATGTGGTGAGGTGGATGAAAGATAGCAAACTTATATTTTAAAGGAAGTTATCGTCACTGAGGAAATGAACTTATCTATTAATGTCGTTGGATACCCATTGAACCTAGGGAAGGTAAAAATTGACAAACACGATATGTTTGGTGCTAAGAAATTGGAGGTTTTACTGTTACGCCTTGAGGGACCGCCTGTTTGCGCTGGCATCCTTAGTCGGAATGTTATGATTCGGAAAAGTAGTGACACGATATGCTGTGATAATCATCACTCTTTCCGTCATAATCTCTGTCTGTGACTAGAATCCGGTGCCTCCCAGCGCCATGAGGCGACGAACACAGTAAGAAAATAGAAAATTTCCCAGTGTTAGGGGGCTGTCAGTTACTGGAGTTGGTACTTGTCGGAAAGAAGAAGAATTGTTGGGAAAGCACGTCTCCACTTATATCAAGAAACTCATGTATTGAAACGGCTTGGAAATAAAAATAGAAAACATATTTTCCGTCATACCTACACGAAAAGTTTGATTTTACTCTCCTATTGACAAGAAGAAGTGACCCATTCGATCTTTCGGATTTCTGTTGTTTTTGAGGGTATTTGAGCTGACATGACCCACATTCGTCCTGTAATTTACGAAGAAAAATGGAACTTTTCCGTGTAGTTATGACGAAAAATACAATGTGCACCGGGAAAAGGAAACAGGACATTCTAACCCGGGTGTGTATTACTGACCCGAAGCAAAGTCGAAGGTGGTAAACACGCTGGTTGAAATGCCCCGTTTTCCTCCCTTGTTGCACCAGCTACTATTACCCTAAGAGAAGGAAGACTCTTGTCAAACATTTATGCATGTGAATTTACTCACAAGTTTTTTCACTCTCAAATTTAAGAGATTGCAATGTAAAAAACGGTTCCACTTGGTTGAAGAAGTCGTTTCTTTGTTGTCAATTCATTGCTCACCATTTTCTTGAGAAGCGCTAAATCTCTTGATTAAAGTTTTTTCTTTCAGTGGCAGATGTAATCTGGGAAATTTTTGAATCTGAATTTCACCATGGCAACAAAGACGCACTTCTGGAAAAAAACTTCAAAATGCAGCGTCCTATGTTTTGGGTTTAATAGAAATGCTTTCATGCTACAGGTATCCGTAATCACGCGATTCTAACCTCACTTCGTTTGCTAGAATCGCGTATTATGGGCCCCATGACATAAAATAGTATATAAAACACGTGCGTTATGCATTTTTTGTCTTGTGGAACTGTGACGCGGGTTGAAGGCGAGTGTTACAACCCTCCCACGAGCTTAGAAATCTATCACGCACTTGTTACATAATATACTATTTGTAAGTCTTATGTGAAGCTGATAATTCTGGATAACTGTATACCAATGGGATTATTGCCTTACTGAATAGAGACTACACACATTCTCTACAATGTCTACATGGGCAACCTCACATAGGCTCGGAGCAGTAGCCATGACATTATTAAGGTTCCAATTATAAGGAACTTAGCGGGATTACAAGGGTTGTCGTATATTTGTGTGGCGAGGGTAACATCAAGCAATGGCGCATGCGCATGATTGAAATAGGAGGAAAATGATTTGAATTTTTATGCGCGTGTTTGGACATTTTCTTTTCAATTAAAAAAAAATGTAATTAAAAGATGATGGTTTAGATTCAAAATTCATTGGTGGAAATTAAAATGGAATGCTCGTGAACTTGAGAAAGAAATATTTCATCGTCAATTAAAGATTGAAGGACGCCGATAATTTTTTTGATTGTGAGAAATTCGTCAATTTTAATTTGACATCCAGAGCGGGAAATATAGAAATGAAAAGTTTGAAACTGCATGTCAAGTCTGGTGTATTAACAACATGATAATATTTAATAATTGATTTCCAAACAATATTTTCACTTCAAGACATCTATGAAAGGTACAATTTTTTTTATAAAGGCGATTAAAAGCAACCAGTAATCAATCAACAGCATAACAACAAAAAAACAATAATTGAGAAAATATTTTCATTAAAAAAATAGAGAATTTTTCTATTTCACTTTTTCCACCACCAAGTTTCTGCTGAATATCCCCACTACTCTTGCCTACGCACATGGCATCATGAGACCGATGGGGGTGCAGCCATAAACTTAATGGCTTGAGACATTTTTGCCTCGTGGAGGTCGGGAGCTGGCGTAGCTCCGAGAGGTGAGGTTGCCCACCTCTGCTCTATATGACCACATCACTGAATGACTACACAAATTATTCCCATCGTGTTAGCAGCACTTTTTGAAACTAATTTTTATGATATTTCGATATAAATTGAGTCAAGGTTTGTAAATTTAGAGCAGAAAAATCCTATGAGGTATTCCAATATTAGCGACAATTTTTATATGATTAAAGTGGTGAAAAAACATTTCCTTAAATTTTTCAGCATTTTTAGAGGTTCTGTTTTCGAGTCATGATTTTTTAATTCGTGTTTCGTCTTCTGTGAATAATACCGGTTCTACACGTCGTATCTACCAGATTGTATTAATTTGTCAAAATTTTGGGGGTTAATACAAGTTGAGTAGTCATTGCCAACTCGTGAAAACCAGAAACTCACAAATTGTGTCAAAATTATAAAAATCGACAAAATGTGACTTTTTCGCCCATTGTGGAAGGTAATTTTTTTATTGATGTGAATAAAAGCTGAAATAAAAATAGCACTGGAAAGTTCACCTACAAATTATTAAGAATCCGAGGATGGTTTTCAACCTATTGTCACGGTTTCTTCTTTAAAAAATTATGAAGTGGTAGTGGAGGGGGGAATTGTGGGCCGTATAACATACACGCCAGCATCTCCAAAACGTTATCTTGGGAGATAGGCTATCGCGTGTTTGAAATGGTATCAGCTCTAAATTCTAGATATTTTCAACAAACTGATTTTGAAATGTAGGTATAGTCGAAGTTTACGGGCATGATTTGTTAAAAAAAAAATTACACTTTCCGATTTTGTAATTCCGTCCTAGGTGGGTAATTCTCTCGAAAATGCGATTTTTCAATTTTTCAAAACTTTTAAAGGTGAGTCAAAAAATGAAAGGGATTGATTCCCCCTCATCTCCTATCAGATCCACGCCGGTACCGGGGCCTCTTGGAACCTGGGAAATTATGTATTTTTTTTGCAAAAATTAAAACGAATATACGTTTTGAAAAATTGTGTTTTCGGTTTTCTGCATCTTTTTCGTTATAGACTTAACTAAAATGGTTTTCAGCCCACTGGATCATATAAGGAATGACCCTTAATTGTGGAGATTTGGGTCAGAGCTTGGTGCACTTGGCGTGACAGACCTCATATGCATGTTCATCCGCAAAGATAAATCCTCCATTTGGATTTAATCTATACCCATTACGTCCCAATTTTCATTCCGCCCTTTCATTTTGGGCCTTCTTATCGATTTGAACACTTAAAATTGATTAACTCTTTTAATCTAATGATCTATTCAATGGAAATAAAAAATGAGTAAAAACAAAATTTGCATTAAGCATGATTTTCTGGAACACTAACCCGCCCACATGTGAATTTTTGCACCACCTGTTTAAAGAAAAACTTAATTAAGAAGATGAACATATTTGGCTGAGATTGATTTTTTCTCAAACTTGTCAATACTAGCATATATAGAAATAGAAAAAAATGGTCCAGTTATGTTGTTTAGATGATTAAAAATCATACAACTCTGAGCAGAAAATTAAAAGTAATTTGAAACTAAAAAAAAAGGGTCATCAAGTCATGTTCGGGTGATTCCTTATCATTTAATACATCGCGAGTCCTATTTGCCGAATAAGTCAAGAACACTTTGGGGCTCGAATTTTCTGAGAAAATGAACATTTTTCTCAATTCTCTTTTGTTGGCAAATTTAACAAAAAATTTCTCAGAAAGTAGTATTCAAATATCTGATATTCCGCGTAATAGTGTTAATACGATCTTTGGCTCAAATTTTTCGACGAATTGAAAAAAAATGTTAACATAGCTTTTTGGGCGAAAGCACGCAACGTAACGTAAAGATGATTTCAAAATCTCGGAAATCTTGGTAAAAAACTCTAACCTCTTCGTGCCTCGTCTTAATCAATTAACGTTCTGTCAGAACACCTGAACAGAGTCGATAATAATGGGTTGATAGTAAATTAAATTATAACAGTACATACCTTAAAACTACAATAAAATTCTTGTTCGTCCGTAACAGATTCTACTACCGAACATTGGCATCGTCAAACGGTGACTATGACAGATACCGTAGAACGTCAAGCGCTAAGAGCAGAGGTTATAGGGGAGATTCCTAACGCCAATGGCGAGTCTTCAACCGCGAAGTTTCCTGGCGGTACTGGCGGAACTAATTTTGCGGGTGTATCTGTAAGTCAAACAGGTCGCGTGGTCAAGATTGTCGGTAATTTTCGGAGGGTGTGGGTATAAATAAGGCAGAATGCGAGCCCGAGAGCAGAGATTATAGAGGAGATTGCTAGGGCTTATGGAAAGGCTTCATTGCGGCGGCTACGGAACTTTTTTTTTTAAACGGCTCCATTTTTGTTAACAAATTGAAAAATGACTAAACAAATTCGGGAAAAATTGTCTCGCAAATGTATACTCAAACCATTGAGAATCGTCTGAAACGTGGAGATTTATTGGTCCCTCGGAACTTTTTTTTTTAAACGGCTCTATTTTTGTTGTTAGAGACTAATTAATCTCCACGTTTCAGACGATTCCCAATCGTTTCAATATACATTTGCGAGACAATTTTTCCCGAATTTGTTTAAACATTTTTGAATTTGTTAACAAAAAAGAAATCGTTTAAAAAAAAAAGTTCCGAGGGACTAATTAATCTCCATGTTTCAGACGATTCTCAATTGTTTGAGTATACATTTGCGAGACAATTTTTCCCGAATTTGTTTAGTCATTTTTCAATTTGTTAACAAAAATAGAGCCGCTTAAAAAAAAAAGTTCCGAGGGACTAATAAATCTCCACGTTTCAGACGATTCTCAATCGTTTGAGTATATATTCGTTAGACATTTTTTCCGCAATTCGTTCAATAATTTTTCGAATTTTTTAGAGTGAACTCTTTTTTTATTCCGTCCATCGGTTGTTTCTTGATCGTACCCCCACTCCGGTTTATATCGAATGTTTCCGTACGTCACGGTTTCCTCGAATTATCGATACTCTCGGTTTCACGCTGTGCCGAATTATCTACACTCTGGGGCTCGCGCTCTGTCTTATCCATACTCACGGGCTCTGAACATTATCGACACGCACGGGCTCTGAAAATTATCGACACTCACGGGCTCGCGACCTGTTTTACTTACAGGTACGGGCTCTCGATCTGCTTTACTTATAGGTACGGGGTCTGACCCTGTTGAAGGTTTTGTACAGGCGCTGGCAATCTCCTCTATAATCTCTGCTTCAACCGCGAAATTGTCTGGCTGCCCGAGCCGAACTAATTTTGCGGGTGTACCTGTGAATCAAACAGGTCGCGAAGGCAAGAGTGTCGGTAATTTTGGGAAGACGTGGGTACAGATAAGGCAGAGCGCGAGCCCGAGAGTGTCGATAATTCGGAAAGATCAGCAAACGCGAGAGTGTCGATAATTCCAGGAAATCGTGACGAAAGAAAACATCCCATATAGAGCGGAGTGGGAGTATGATGGAGAAACAATCGACGGACGGAATGAGAAAAATGAATTCACTTCTGTAAATTCGAAAAATTGTTCAACAAATTCGGGAAAAATTGTTTCGCAAATGTATACTCAAACGATTGCGAATCGTCTGAAACGTGGAGATTTATGGGTCCCTCAGAACTTTTTTTTTTAAACAACAGCTTTTTTGTTAACAAATTCAAAAATGATTAAACAAATTCGGGAAAAATTGTTTCGCAAATGTATATTCAAACGATTGCGAATCGTCTGAAACGTGGAGATTTATTAGTCCCTCGGAACTTTTTTTTTACGAAATCTTTTTTGTTAACAAATTGAAAAAAGTTTTAACAAATTGGGGAAAAATTGTCTCGCAAATGTATACTCAAATGATTGAGAATCGTATGAAACGTGGGGATTGATTAGTCCCTCGGAACCTTTTTTTTTCAACGGCTCTATTTTTCCCGAATTTGTTTAATCATTTTTGAAATTGTTAACAAAAAAAAAATCGTTAAAAAAAAAAGTTCCGAGGGACCCATAAATCTCGACGTTTCAAGCGATTCCCAATCGTTTGAATATATATTTGCGAGACAATTTTTCCCCAATTTGTTTAATCATTTTTGAAATTGTTAAAAAAAAAATCGTTAAAAAAAAAAGTTCCGAGAGACCCATAAATCTCGACGTTTCAAGCGATTCGCAATCGTTTGAATATATATTTGCGAGACAATTTTTCCCCAATTTGTTTAATCATTTTTGAAATTGTTATCAAAAAAGATATGGATTAAAAAAAAAAGTTCCGAGGGACTCATAAATCTCCACGTTTCAAGCGATTCCCAATCGTTTGAATATCTATTTGCGAGACAATTTTTCCCCAATTTGTTGAGCAATTTTTCGAATTTACAAAACTGAATTCATTTTTTTCATTCCGTCCATCGATTGTTTCTCCATCATACCCCCACTCCGCTCTATATGGGATGTTTCCTTTCGTCACGATTTCCTCGAATTATCGACACTTTCGCGTTTGCTGGTCTTTCCGAATTATCGACACTCTCGGGCTCACGCTCTGCCTTATCTATACCCACGCCCTCCGAAAATTACCGACACTCTTGCCCTCGCGACCTGTTTGATTCACAGGGACACCCGCAAAATTAGTTCCGCCAGTACCGCTAGGAAATTTTGCGTTTGAAGCTTCGCCATTGGCGTTAGCAATGTCCCCTATAATCTCTGGTATAATCTGGTAATTGCGCCAAAACTTCCAATTAGTTACATAATCAAGTTCATTATTACCTACAAAAAGGATTTTTTCATTTTCTTAAGAGCACTGATATTCGTTGCTCTGCATCAAGACTTAGCCTACCAGTCAGTAGATGTCGCGGTAAATCCTTCTCATGTTTACAATTTTTATTATTTTTTATTTTATCACTCCCTCTACCCTAACATCGCCGAACCCCAAATTCCTGTGCCATAACACCATTATCATTACACTCACTATGGCTACTACCTCAATTTTGTTATTACCAGTGATTAACGCGATCTAGTTTATATTATAGGTAAAATTGTTGTTGTTGAGCAATCGGAAAACAGTGGATCAGTGCCTAAGGCGAAATATTGAGTAGTGTTTCGTGAAGTGACTCAAAATTTTCTGGTAATCGAGGTAATTCTGTTTTACTCTTGAAACTGTCCAGTAATTGGAGGTATTGACGAGTACTTCGGTGGTGAGGGTGACGATGAGGGTTGTTTGGTGCTGGGTGATGGGATCTCGTCCTTTGGAAGAAGATTTTCATTTGGAATAATGCAAAGGAATTACAACGATTTTTAACGATAATGGAATTAAAAGTTTGGGTTGAAGGCATTCAACGCATTGTCTGCGGGGTGACTGAAAGCACCACTTGTCAGGTGAACATTTTTCATAAATTAAGAACTGAATGCAGAGGATTGAATGTTGCGATTATACTCGTCTGGAATGGATGGTGGGCAAAAAAAAGAAAGAAATTTGTTAGATTTCTTGATTAAAAAATGAGAATGACATGGCTGTAATGTATTTCTGTTACTGAATTTTTACTAGCTATGATAATTCACTGACTTGTTTTCAGATATTAATTGCTATTATTTTGTAGGATGTGGTTTATGCACTGGCCCACGCCACTGCTCAATCAGGGAGGTTCACACTCGTTGAACGATGGAGAAATAACGAGAGATTCTTGGCTCCTTATGAAAATCCTTTGACGGTAATTTTGAAAATATTAATTGATTCCTTGACAAAAAATACTCTGCGAATTTGGTGGGTTAGAATTAAAATAGCCAGGTCTATTTAATTACAATGAGTATAGGTTTGGTATTTTGTATATCTTACTCCTGTTAATGAAAGTTTTATTCTGCAATAGAAGACTGACGATGAGACGGCACTAACCGACTGATAAAATACAGAGAGACGATCTCATTTCAAGCGTATATATTTTGGACGTTCGTCAAATAAGTTTTGACAAATCTTATAAATTTATATATTTGGTGGCAAGTTGATGGGAGCATGTGCGCGATTGTAGATGAGTCACTGGACCCTGAATGTCTTTATCGGCTGTCATCACATTAATGGCGAGCTTCCGAATGAGAGGCTCACCCGTCAGAAAATCCCTCGCAAAAGTGCCCTCGATAACAATATGTCAATGCAAATCTTCTAAAGCCAAAATATCACATGCTAAAATTTTTCATTTTGAGATGTCAAGGTGTAACTGGACTAAATTGAAGTTCATGATGATCTCTAAATATACCGATCGTAATGAGCATTTGATTGAAGGGGTAAAAAAGTGGAGTAAGATGACTCACGATCAGTACTGTGCGACGTTGCCCAAAATTTCCATTCTCATCATGCTTTCCTTTTCGTCTCTAATTTAACTAGGTTTCTACAGCACGTGGCTGCATGCGTCCATGGAAAATTGGAGCTTTAGCGCTGAAAATCAATTCTAATTTAAGGCCTAGTTGGAGTATCTCGTATAGATAGTTTTTTCCCTTTTTTTTTATTTGAAGCTTTGATACAGCCCTGCATGAAGCATGTAGGCTGAAAAGAAGTAAAAAAAAAAGTAAAACTATAGAGGTTCTTGTTCATTAAAAATGGGAGGATAATTGTACAACAGTACGTGTTGGAAATATGTGATTTGAAGGAGCAGGAGGGGGGGGG